AACTTCAAGGTAACGAACGTGAATAACAGATATCTGTTTAGTTAATTTTTTATAAGATCGGCTAAAATTCCTCGAAAAATTGACCAGTCGATCATCGCGATCCTTAACGGTTAAGTTGTTCACAGTAGGTAAAATATATTGACAGACACCAGTGAATGTCGACATAGGTACAACAAAAGTCGTAACTATAGTGAATGTTGCCAAAACGGCCTTTACGCGGTTATTCATCGATCACTGTTGACATATTTTAATATTAGTGTTTGGTCAATTTTGACCGAGCTTGTAGCACGATGCAAACTAAAGGATATATTTTTCAATAGTATTAAAACGCTGTCGATCTATCGCGATATTTCGGAACTTTTAAACTTGGTTTTTTTAACATGTTCGACTGTTATTCAGGTTATCGCATGAGATATGGTGAGCTCGATATGCAACAATCCGATTTTGTAACTTTTAGTTGCAGAATATAAATCGTTAGAGTCGACGCCTACCCATACTATAAACCTAGATCAATGCTTTTTGTAACGATATTTTAAATTTTAAATTTAACTTGAAAATGGAAAATATTAAAAACGTTTTTATAAAAGTTAAGTGCACTTTTCACTAAAAAAAAAAAAAATGGAGATAATTGTTTTTACTTAAGTTCTAACAAAATATATAATAAATAATATATAAGTAAAATAATAAGTGCTAAAGAAAAACACACATAACAGAAAACTGATTACATTAGTTTAAATCGGTTTGATGTTATAAGTATTATGAGTATAAACTATAATCGTTCCATCTAGTAAAACTAAAATTATTTATTATGAAAAAAACGAAAACTATATAAAATTATTTTTGACACTCATATAAAAACTGGTCATGGAGGGTAAACCAAAAAATGCTGAGTGAACTACAGAACAAATTCAAAAATATAAAATACGAATTTGTTATGTTATTTATGAGTTTAGGTGTATGAGTTTAATGCAAAAAGTTCTAAAAAAAAAGTACTGTAATTAAACCTATTACCTATAGGCTGTGAGCTGAATTCTGGGTGTCAAATAGACTTAGTAGATATTTATGCAAACTCACAAAGATGTCCAATTTAAATTTATATTGAATTATCTGGATCACCTATCAACGTTTATCCAATATCAAGAACTCTTTAATCTACAACAGCAGAAAAAGGGGCATATGACTTATTAAATATATTTCTTATTTTTGGTGCTCCGAATATATTTTACATTCAGACAACGGAATACGCAACGTTCGTAAATAAATTATGTACGTACACGATAACAGAAAAATACGTGGTGGTGTAAACATTTTACACCAAAAACCACGGTACAGCCAGACGTAAGAATTCATAGAAATGGCAAACCAAGATTTCCAAATTATTTCACAGATAGTTATAATCATAAAATATCATAATATTACGGTTTACGATACTACAAAAAGGTCAGAAACATTTCCGCTTAATTTACGGCAAAAAAACGACGTATCATTAGGCAAACGCACTTGTTGGCGATTAAGAATAGAGGAATTATGGCACTAAATGTACTTAAAACACAAACAAGTGTAATGGTGCGATCGTCCAACCAAAAAATATGTCCGTCTGCTCAAGTGGGCGATACTGTTCGAGTGCGTGTTCCAGATATCGGCCGAGGACGTACGGATTCCCAAAATATCTTACCCGTAGTTATGGACGTAGATAATGACTTCTAAAAATTGCCAAAAAAAACATGGGAACGTGGGATTGTCAGTCAGCAGCTGTACACTCGTAATCAATTTGCAGCGTGCAGAGAAAAAAAATTGGTATCACTAAACGACGTAATATCCGATAAGACGATTTCTTTGAGACAGGTATCGACAGTTGCTTCAAAAAGTGGTGCCCAAGGTTTGGTGAGACGCCTTGGTAAAAAAGAAAATGTAGTTTTAGATCGGGGGAGGATACTTTGCAACAGTAAATGCCACGATAAAGTGTAACGTGTTGCATGAACGAAAAATAATTATAACCTAAAGTATTTTTTATTACAGTGAACTATAGTAGTTATGTACGGATTTTTCATTTATTTGTTTATTTTGTTTTTTTTCTTTACTGATTGATCATCAACTACATAGTTTATTAGCTCACAAGTGTTCTTTAAAATTAAATATTATATAATATTATACAAATTGATTTTTTTTTAAATTATCTTTTTTCTTCTCTATTATATTCTATCTATATATTATGTTTGTCTCTGACTAATTATTAATCGCGAAATATTTTAATTGTAATTCTGTGGTTTACCATTTACTAAATAAATATTGTGGATATCAACAAACCCCGTTAAATGTCTGTATTTTGGGGCATTTGTAAAAATGTACGACATTCATCAAAACGATTGGTAAACGTCAACAACCACTGTCAACACTCATCGTTCACTGCTAGGTGGTGCCCTACACCTTAACATAATTATAAAATGGGAGTTTACCAAATACGGTAATAATAATGTATTTTATAAGATTATTTTTAAATCCATTTTACTCAACATTTTTGTTTGATCAATAAACATAAATTATTCCCGAATACTCCTGCTAATATTATAGTACGGTTATATATTTTATTGATACCCCGTAACAATTTGAATGGAGTACAATAAATTATTTTAAAATGTGCTCTCTTAATCGTGAATTAATGTGTATATTCAAGCAATACAATTTATAAAAGTTAAAAATGTGCCATTACGTGAATAATGTGAAATCAGAGAGCTAACTGGTTAACGAAGCTAAATCTTTTGTCATATAAAAATCAGAATACTAAGAGTAACTACAATATTATACGTGTGCGTTTGAGTCACGTATATTATGATATGGACAATGGACATACAACGACGTGTTTAGAAGTAAAAAGAATTTTAACAGGGACACGGGGTTTCGTTTGTAGTTTCAAAAATGAAAACGTGTATTTTATTGTTGTTACAGTGATAGTTATAACGCCTTTCTTGTATGAACCCTATCAAGGGTGGGGACCGAGGAAGGGGTAAGACTTCATGACCTAACCGTGAAAACATGTGATCGTGTTCTGGCAGTCATAGTTAACTACAACTAATTACTGCTCGCAAAATTAAAACAAAGCGACGAAAACGATCACGACAATAATAATTCCGGCTACAACTATAGGCAATTGTATGCGCTAGTGTTGGTTTGTTAGTATCCCGATGGGTCAGCCACTAAAATATCAATATAATGATAATAATATTATGGCGATCGTATTATTTTTACTGTCGATTGTTTTATTACTCTCGGTTTTCATCGTTAATTAATAATTTGAGTTTTACACGAAACGAAAAAGAACAAAAAAAAAATATTCATTTTCTACATTAAAATGTGGTTTTTAACGTGTCCGCGACGAGGTTTTGTTGTTTAAACACTTCGAGTGCATCAACGAAACTCGAATAAACTAATGAGCACGTTATTCATCACGTATTTCCATGCAGTAAGAATTATAATACGTAGCGCCGTTAATCCGATGTCATACATGAGATATTATTATGAGTCCGGATAAACATACTCGCAATGACTACTATTCTGTTTAAATTGATGTTTGTTTTGTATTTTACTTGTACCTAGATAGTCTAAATATCAATTTTAATCCCTCATTTGTTTGATATATGATCGATGTATTTGTCACTATGCATAGTACAATTATACACGCACCTACAATCTACATAGATAAAACATTAGAATATAACTTATCATTTGTTTGGTTTGGGAAACACTAGTTGTGTAGTGTATTTTTTCAACGGATTACACTATCCGCAGCAGGGGTTGCGAGTTTTTATATTATTCGCCTGACCTAAAAACTACCTAAACGTGATTAGAAGAGCACGCTAAATTTATTATTTCAAAATAATATTTGTTTAATAGTTACACAAGGTAGGTAGGTACATCGGAAAGACTCGTGTTATCATGTTCGGCAAACATTGGTCCTATTTAATAGTCTATATATGCATTATATTCTCCGAGAATTAATGTAAATATAAGGGAACCCCTTTTTTTCATCACTTTAAATTATTATGAATTCCAAGCGTAATTATAGTGTGGAAATTTGGATTTTAGTTGTTCAATAATTTGTGTTCATTGCTCATACATATTCATAAGTTCGTAAAAAAATTACGATAATTATTAAATATAATATATACATACATATTCTTATAGGTACATGATAATTCATTTGTGAGATTATAATAATTTGTTCAAACTCAATACCTACGTCCCCGTTATATTACATCGGTTAAATCGAAGTGTTAATAAACAATAGCTATTCACAATAAATTTTTATACGTCACGTGCGCCTGTTATATGTAGTGTGTATGATAATATTATTTTATCAATTTCATTCAACTACGTACGTAATAGTTACTAAAACTTTTAATTTTGTATCAAATATTCAAACCACTAAATCCTCATGGGGGAGAAGTTCAGAATTACACTTTATTTAATATTTTACTTAATATTTTTTCTTAATAATTCATAAATACTTTAACAAATTATAATTGAAAACTAAAGTGTTATTTTAAAATTCAAGTTATGACGACAAATGTCTTAAGAAATATGTATAATAAAACAAAACTTAGGAGAAAAAAACATTTAGGTTTTTATTTTATCATTGTAATAAAATTTAATTTCAAAACTAATATTAGTCATGTCATTGCAGTATGATTAAATACTATGTAATCATATTATAAATATTTGACACAGTAGAAACAAATAATCATCAATCAAATAATAATTTGATTTAGTTCAATAATTTGTAATGAAAGTCACTATAATATAATAAATACATTTGGATAAAATAATAAATACAGCAATTTAATTAGGTATTATAAAAAAAAAAAATAAGTATATAATACATATTATAAGTTTATATAAGTATTCTTCATTTTTCGTTAATAACCCAATAACAAAAAAATTAAATCTAAATTTATAATAGTACGTAGTATTAAATAACATAAAATTAACGGATCTAGTCTACAGAGTTTCGTAATATATTTTTGATTATTTCTTCTTTTTGTAGCCGAATTCATTTGTCACTAAAATAGATAAAAGGACCACTTAAGTCGTTAGTATGCAATTATTTATTATTTATATTACGTCATACCTTTATAGTTGTCTTCGTAATAACACAGTAAATTCCATAAATCTATGCCTTGGTCGGTTTCAATGTCCATGAGACCACCATATTTAGTTGGTAAACATTTGGCATCCAGATGTTCCAATAATGTTGAGTGATCATAACCGTGCAAAAGCATCTGCAAAAAATTTCACAACAATTATGAAATACAGTTTGTCGACAAGAAACTAAATTTAAAAAAATGTGCATATTATGTCATGAGCAATGTAGGAGGTTTGAAAATTTGGAAATATGAAAATAATAAATTTACGATCGCAATATTTCCTAGAGTTTCAAGGCGAAGTATACTCTGCTCAGAATCTAAAGAGTAAAGAAGTTAAATTGACTCACATAATCATAAGAAAAAGAAACAAAAAAATGGAAGTATTTCGTACATTTGGCAGTATTCAATTAAAATAATACTGTGGCAATTAAACAATTTGGGTAAATAAAGAAATGATTTATGTAGTATGCATAATATTATAAGACGCTTTTGTGTAAATTATAAGCCAAACATAAGTTTAGTTGCGAAATTTCCAGACGACTCTAAGTACCTAAATTAAAAGAAGTGGTTTGCGTCAGAATAAATAAAAACAATTTTTTTCCAATATAATTTATCTAATTTAATATGGTAGGTATGTGCATCGCTTATTTTAATAATCATACAATAATGGTATAAGAATAATATCATGTGTTCTTAAAATTATTTTTTTCCTGAAAATAAATATTACTCAAATTATTACTAAAATCAGATATTGGACACAATATGTACATATTTTCATGTTCCAAATACAATTTCAGATGAGAAGCCGAGTTTGATTTAATAAAATATATATATTATATTTTGTTTTATCAAATTTGAGGTACCTGAAGTGGAAAATAATTATGGTACTCTTTGAATACCTAGGTTTCTATTAAACTTTAAGTATTAACTTTAGAAACAAAAAATAATAATAAGGTCAAAGTAAGTAAATTAGTTATACAAAAACGTTTCCAGTATAATATTTTGAATATAGCCGTATAAAAATGCAGGTTTATCAAACAAAAAGTCTACGTAACGATATTATGCTAATTTTAATTAAACCCCGTTAATCGGTTCTGACGCAATTGACGAGCTATACCAGTTTTTATTATTTATGGTAAGAGACCAACAAAACACAAAATTCTACATTTCTGATACATTAGTAAATATTATAATTATGTATTATGGACACCATACATTAACATTGACATACATTGACGATGTAGATTCTTAATTTTAATGAACATATTTATTTCAAATATACTTTTTTAATTTAAAATAATATCAATTATAGAATAAATGTTAATGACAATAACAAGAAACGGTAATAGTATTTAGTACTAGGTACTTAATAATTAAAATATATTTTAGATTAATAGATTTTGGACTAATAAAATCTCGTTTTTCTGTTTCATAAAGACCCAGTTTTCAAATATTATTAATTCAAGGATGTGTTACGTGAAAATAGATTATTAATATTTCGTTCAAATTTAAATATCAAATTATTGCGAATTTACTTTCAAATTGTTTATTTTAATGCTCCTAATAACTAAATATTTTTAGAGGAATATAAATTACATTTTCAAGTTCACTAACCATGCTAAAAAAATTTGATCTACATTTAGGTATATTAAAAAAAATCAATGGTTGAAAATGTCTATAAATTGCTCGAAAATTAAAAAAAAATCATTATTATTATTACTATTATTTCTTTGAAAAGTACTGGACATTTAAAATTTAAAATTTTCAAAAGTAAAAATTAAATTCACTTTACTAGCAGTACACATATTGAAGTTGAAAGTTAAACCATTTTTACTACCTACTACAAGACGTGTACAGTGTGCAAGACTCGAAAAAAAAATTACAAATGCTCCGCTCAGAATTATAAATAAAGCGAACCGGTTAAATGTTTGTACAAGTCTATTATGTCATATTGCAAACATTTTTAAAGAAAAATATTAGGTATATGGTTATGCGTCGGATAAAATTCACTCCGATGCGTAAACACAGAATACAAATAATTATTATATTCGTTCCAGGTATTTTATTTGTTTATTAAATATTACACAATTAAACTTAACTTTTGCGTTTATTTATTATATGGGTACTCGAAATACATACATACTACGTTCGTAGAACATAAATAATATATTATAATGTATAAACTATAAGTGTTTCACCGACAACTTGCATTAAGCTGCTAGTTGTAGTGGGGGGGGGGAGGGGCGAAACTCCATTAGGTATTCCAATGCAACACAAGTAGGTTCCCGAGGGCACCTCTTATTAAATAGCTATTTCTAAGATATCTGTATCGTTTGTTACTCAATAAATTAAAATGTACAATACTTATTGACCTTTACATACCTACCAACAATATATTTGACATACACATCCGAGTGGTCTATGATTTTTTAAAACAAACCCCGATGTTTAATTTATATTTATGTAACTGCAATTAATGTTGCGAATTTATGTAGATTATCCTGTTTATTTAATTCATAGATTTTCTTCAGGTATAATTTGGTATCTACCTGCATGCTATATGGTTAGAATAGCCCTGTAGAATCATTGTACGTATAGGTATTATTATGGTGTGTCATTAGAAGTCTGAATACAATTTATTCTAACTCAGTAGGTATTCATAAATATTATTTTGTTATATAATATGATGTTCGTGGGTATATTTTAATTGTCGCAATTTATTTATATATTTATTTGGATTTCCAAGAAACATACAAACATACAATATATCATTATAATGGATTATTACTCGTTTATTTTTATTTTTATTTAATTACTGTCCAGATTAAATTCCAAAAAAATAGTTTATAGACACGAGTAAACACGTACACCCACTTCGAATTATAATTCTCGCTAAAATTGATTGATTTCAATCTAACTTGTATACAATTAAATACAAATACAATACATTTCAAATTTTATCAATCACCTTAACTTCAAAACATTAGAATACATTTTCGCTACAATTTATAATATAAACATTATCCATTTGTCATCCTTAGGTACCACTAATACAGAGACCTTCAAGGTTCAAATTAGATGACTGTACTATGTCAACTAATAAATCTAAAACTAGATAACTCAAAATTTTACCTCCGATTAAGGGACTCAATAATCAAACAATTAATAACGAATCTTAAATCATAAAATCCCGAATGGTAACAACTCAACAATAGTCATTGTAGTTATTCTCCTCTCCACACCATCCACAATAATATTGGAAAAAAATAAAAACTTTTTATCACAAATTCTTTTTTTCAATAGTATCTGAAAACCTAATACCACCAATCATGATGACACTAATCAAAATAAATTTCAATACACACTAACTGAATATCAAGAAAATACCATCCAATAAGTATACCAGTGTATTATAATATGAAAAGAACAATTAATTGTCTTAATGTTAGGTATACAACTTTCGATTTAATTGGACTGGAAAGCTTTATCTGAAAACCAATTACGACTTGTTTAAATATACAAACAGATACCCCCGATAACTATAGAATACTTGTTCACTTTTTAAAAGACGAAAATGCAGATTACCACATCTTTCAACTTCAGTTTCATAAATCACTCGGATAAGTTATTAAAAATATTCACATCTCAACTGATTCCGCCGAAATCGTGCCAATACTAAAAGTAAAAAGATGTACCTGAGTTTACCATAGGACAAGCAAACATAAAACAAATTACAAAAATATAACTACCTGTTTTATTTTGTTTTAATCTTTACTTAATCAATTAGTAAAGGAATACTTAACATATGCCTTCTCTACTAACCAAAAAACTCAGTGTTAGAACTACATAAAAGCCGTAAAATTCATCGATTCCAAAACTGACAGTCGTACGACCACTTTTTTCTCTCCTCACAATGGTTACATCCGGTTTTTTAAATTTTAAACTCCCTCCTAAACCTCTCATGGAACGCCAATGGTCTACAAAACAAATAGACAAATACCCAATTACGCTCCAAGAAATAATAATATAAATCAATCCGAAACCCATTTTAAAAATAACTATTCTCACTATTTACCAAGTTTTTGTTAGTACAATACCAACTATACCGATAACGCTACTCACACTGCTCATCTGGTGGTGATGTAAAAGGAAAGCTACCCGACAGGGGTACCATTCTACCGATTCTCCAGGTAAACGCACATTACATAGTGAAACATGCAAACACTTTCAAGTTATTTCACCTACTACTTAATGATCAACATCACTTCCAAAACGACCAGGTATAATAGATATATTTGTAACAATAATTCCTAACACACTCCACTGCACAATCATCAACCCTTTTGCGCCGCGTTTTGGTCACTCACCCTCCCCCCACATTTTTCTCTCAGTGGATTGCCAACCTTTACGATCCTTCGTTTATAGGTTGTTACTATCAAATAAATAAACGTCGTTCTCGGTGTGGGTAGAAAAGAATAAAACATTCTGTCAAAAAAAATATATTTATTGTAGTCACTTGCAAGAACAAAAAACTATGACATACCCTAGAAAACTACTGAAACAAATACTATATTGAAGACTTAGCCACTCACGGACTACCATGGGTTTCTCCAAAACAATTTCATTATACGAATATAGCATACAGTCCAGCTGATTTACTCAACTCCTATAGCATTTGGGTACACTCAGAAAAAAAACATCATTTACAAACACAATAAGATGTAAAAAATATTATATACATTTTATACAAATAGCTATATTAGTACACCTTTATAGTAGTCAAATGCAATTTACCATAATATTGAAATGAAAAAGTGATAAATATTGCTGTTTATCTTAAACAGTGTTATAATATTTTATAATGCATAGTTCTTAGTTATGAGTTATGACTTAATAAATGTTATTGTTGAGTTTATTAATTATTCATTTTTATTTTTTTAAAGTGTTGTATAAATATGCATTTAAAAATGCATAAAACTACATGTCCCTACATGAGTTTAAATATTTTTTTATAACCATATACTGTTCAATTGAATTATATTTTTTAAGTGGAATAAATGTTGATGTACAATGATATTTAGGAATACAAAGCGTTTTTAATGCATTTCGAGTGCATCTTCATTAAAGTGAGATCAAAAAAGAATACAACTGGCACTCATTATCACTATTATTCATAATCCGATTACATTGTTTATGTTATACGAGCTGAAAAATTAAAGTTACTAATTTTAACTCGCTGTATACTAGAAATCATTACAATATAGTATAATATAAACCTACGTAGTACGTCCTACATATTTTTAAAAACCATAATATTATGACGTAGGCAATGTCACTATTATTTTTAGTATGATATGCAGTTGGTACGTATCAATATTTATTAAAATGATACGAAATTTCGCCCATTAACTGTACGATTATAAACACCATGTACCGAAATATTTTTATTTTGCAATTTCGGTAGGTGGTTATTAACTTTCTTTTTACCAAAAAATTGTTTTGAAATAGTTTTTACATACTCGACTTCTTAATTTTTCTTGCATAAATGGTTTGAACATTGCAAACACCATGTTGAATATGTACGGTTGATTTACGATGTGCACTTCTTTAAGTCTTGCGGGCATTGAATACTGAAACGAAATATTTTATTTGATTAGTAAATAATAATATGGTATACCTAAGATGTATGGTGAGGACCAATATTATTTCTATGATTTTCATTAAAATGAATTAACACTTAATAATTATTAGTACATGGGTACTTATAATATTAATGCATTTTTATAAACCATCTTGATGTCTATGTATTACTGGGAAGAAAAAAGCTCTACAAAATGTGTTTAATGCCATATTATTATATTGTAAATATATAATTACTATATCTATATTATATTTATTAAGTACATTTTAGTTCTTTTTAATTTTGCATAATTTGTATTTTTCTCTTAGATTAATAACTACTTTTTTTTACCGTATAGGAATTTAATTATGATATTTTTATTTTTATTTTTCGTTTGTTGGGTTCAAATTTTAGCAGAATACCACAAATCATTTTAAAAATTGTCAAAAAAATGTATTGATATTGACTTTTAGATTTTACTTTAATATGAATCAATAATTGAATAATAAAAACATGGGATACAAACAACCAATCGCGTTATTTCGTACTTTTCTTAGTATTTTTAAAAATAAATATTACACAATTTGGTTTAGATTAGATTTTAAATTGTGATTTTTTTATTCACTTAAGTGTATGTCTCCAGTGCTCAAGAAACCTTTGTAGTTTATAAACATACGTAAAAAGCTGTATAAAAAAAATGTTATAACTTATAACATAAAAAACACGTTATAATGCATTAAATATGGATATTACTTCAAAATCATTTTTCTGAATAATTTTGTACATTATTATTATTTATTATTGAGAACTTTGAGGTCGAAAATTAAAATACTATTTCTAGGTACATTTAAATCATCGTTTCAATTAATCATGTTTATTTATTCTTTGTTTTGTACTTCCTTCGAATGAATGTGTAGTTAAGATTTCAATTACGAAGAATAAATTATGACGCCTTTTTTAAAACTATAATTGATAAATTGTATATTAAATTATTACGAATAACCAGAATATATTATATAACTTACTAATTGCTATAGTTTTAAAATTATAACCTTGATTAAGATTTCCGTTAATAATAGAATAATATGTATCATTATAACAGGATTATAATTTTCTCAATTTATTATCGCATAATAATATAAGCTTTATGACTAATAATTATAATTCACAATCATACCGATAATCATATGTTATTTTTATGTATATCTTTCCCATAGTTAACAATATAATATTATACACGGATTATATACTTGAGCTTGACTCTCGGTAAAATAAATAATGTTTTAGCGGTGAGAAAATGTGTTTAAGTTTTTTTCGTTCATTGTTAGCATAATGGAATGGTACCATTAGATTTTATAGTCTTATTATGTATTGCTTTGCGAAATAAAAAAAACTAAACCAAATCGTAGGTACAATTTTATTCTTTATAGCCACGTTATTATATCAAAACAGAATCAAAAAGTGTGTTACTTATGTGATTGGTAAGTATAGGTACATGTAACATTGGACGTATTGGGAGGGATATTTTAACAACTATTATTGTAGATCACTGCATTATTCTGTGTGCTTTCGACATTGAATGCCGCACGGATTTTAATTTAGGAATGTTTACGGAATCCAATCGATTTAACTTTTCAATATTGAGTAACCCAATTAAAAAATGCTAAACTGTGAATCCTAAACTCTTAGGTATAGTTTTATGTACTTGTAACCCTAAGTTGAAATATGTAGAGACACTTTATTTCAACACGTTTTGCAGGAGGGTGTAACAACAACAAAATCATTGGCCCACGATGGGAGGATATTTATCAAATAATATTACAAAAAAGCAACTGGCACCGTTAATCGTTTATTAATATTATTGAAAGTTAATTTTAAGTTTATACCAAATGCCATTTTATTAATATACATAACAGTTTAGCTGAAAATGTATACTTATAAATCAATTCATATACAAATTCTCATATAATGCTGAATTATTATAAATTGAATGTGCTAAGTTTTTTTTTATACATTTATCATAAAGAAAATGAACTTAAAGTGATGAAAAATGTATGGTTTTAAACTGTTCAAACCTATGTATTATTATAATAAGTCATTATATACAAAGAGCATAATATTAATATCAAGAATACAAAAATAATAATTGGCACTGGAGCTGAAATTGTACGAATTATTAAAATCGACATTCATTAAAATATATAGAAAATAAAAAAACTGGTTAAATTATATTATAATTAATTTTTGATGGGTAATTACAACCACAGTGTCCTGCAGTTAGATAGGTAGGAATAAAAATAAATTTTCTTTACCTGTATCCAGTCCAAAACCAGCTTAGCGAAGTTTGGTGTGAATTGCCACACATGGTTTATGGTCAGACCAGCAAAGTCCACCAACAGCACCGTGCCCGACACCTGAGTTCTGGGCTCGAGAATAGCCGCTTCTATTACCAGCTCGACGCCGCGAAAGATCTCTGTTAGCGAGCAATTTTTAACTTTCCACCTCTCTACAAGAAACGCAAACAAATACATTTCATATCATAACGTGTTTGGTTAACAATGGGGTGACAACGGGGAGGTGCTTATTGGTTATTATATTATAATCGTATTTCATTCATTGCTGTCAATGCAGTATGCAGCACGTGTTTCAGAGCTATTCATTGAGAGAGTGTTACCCATCAATGCTGCAATTTATTATAATATTATTATGAACACAATTATTTTGACGAGAAAAATAATAAAGCTCATTGACACGACAATAGTTGGGGAACTTTTAAAAGCAACGCATTGTGTATAATAATAATATGTTTATTGTATAATATAGGTATTATTACACAGACATGCATAATATTATAATACACGTGTTTAGTTTCTTCTTATACTTATAAGTACCTTAAGTATTTATATTACCTCCTACTTTTACTTGAACAATTAATAACTACCAAAATTAATTGGTCAGGTACATCAAATGTATTATCGGTTAAAAAATCATCCGACAAGGATACCCCAAAACTTATCATATATTTTTAAATCAATAAAACATTTAAAAAGTGAATACCTATGATGAGGTACCTATTCGCCAAATTAAATAGGCAAGAAACTGGACCAGAGCACACCACACAGAGTGCTACTACCACAATTATTTAGACATGCGTCGTTTATTGTTTTTAATTTTAGGTTTAAAACCCTAAAATATCCTGCATTGTAAACCATCTAGTCTGGGTCACGGCCCTTGGGGACACATTACTCTGTCACTTCGGCATACGTATTTATTTACATTTATAGGTTTTAATTGATGTGTCATTGGCCATTGATGAATAATTTTACTTCCGAATGAAGTTCATAAAATATTTTTACAACAAATATAAAAAACTATTATTTAGACGTACGTCCACATTCTGTGATCAATATTCTTCTTCCGTGTTGATCACGTGATGGTAAAACTGTAAGAATATTCTGAGCAAAGACGTTTTTTTCCAAACTCGGCAGTAAGTCATTGCAGTACTTCGGATTTTTCTGGCGTAATTTGTACAAAAATTTCACCTAAAAATGAATTTGTGTTGTAAGTAAAATTACAAATTTATAAATAAAATAATTGATTAAAGAAACAATGCTAATAATTAAATTGAGTGTATAATATGTGAATATACAAAGTAATTCTAACCATGATGAAAAATAAATGATAACTATCATATAAAAGTGTTAATGAATAAACACAAAGTAAAATCGTATATTATGTTAAGACGTATTCTTCAAATTGAACAAATTAAGATTTGTGCATTAATCCTTGTTTTACATAATTCTAAGTAAAACTCTCTAAATTCGTTATCGAAATTGTGCTATTTAATAAAAATAAATAAAATAACTAATGACAATTAATGTGATAATGAATAAAACTCGTTCGAGGAAACGCAAACCATTACGTTCAGAAAGGCAAATTCAATCAATTAGTTAATTATGTCTGGTCCTGTATATACTCGTATAATGCGTAATAATATTTTTGTATAATGTAACGCAGGCAGGTTCGTGCAAACAAAGTATACTAACTCTTTTGAATGCACTATCCGGGTAGAATTTGCAGACTCTCAAGAAGGCTAACAAGTACAGTTCCGTGGTTTCGTCAGTGGGAAGGTAAAGTTTTTTCTCTTCTGCAAAACAAAACAAAAAATAATAAATAAATTATAACGGACATATTGTCATTAGAAACGTATCAAAAACGTGTACGCTCAATAGTATAATATAATAATAAATAATAACAACAATAATAATAATAATATGTTGTAAAACGTATTCAGTGGCGCTGGGTTAGTGCTCAGACAAATGCACGACATCATAATATATTATTATGGTACACGAACTCGTGAATAACTGCAATAACTATTAAGTGCGTTCCGTAATATTATGCACATGTAAAACAGTCTGGATATCGACGATAATATTATTATAATATTATATAATTATATATTCATATAGATGTCAATACATTTTATTATTATATGACGTATGCAATACGCACGGTACAAACATTTTCCATGCGATCGTAACAAGATTTATTTGTTTACATTCGTAATTCATTGTATTTATTTACTCATTCATTGTACTGTAACAAATCAGCACTCTGTGTTTGTGTGTAAGACTCCTCTATTCATAACAGGGGGCAAAAAAAATAAAGCTTACAAGTTACAATACACTCACGTATTGCGGTGTTTTCCCGTAGTTTATGTGAGCATTTTTATGAAGAGACCACATTATACGACCAAAAGAATTGTAAAATATATTGTTGTTAAAAATATACGTGCCCTGTGGTAGTGTATTGTGTTCAATTGTGAATTTAATTTATTTTTAATAATAATAATTTAATACGTTGAATACACAATTTACAAATGGTTGAGAAATAAAATGTTAGATTTTTCAAACGGGAAATCATTGTATATGAACACATAAAAAATAGTACATTAGAAAAATGTTTACTTAAAAATGAATAGGTACATTACAAACGGGAACATTTGCTATAAATGTATAAGAAACATGAAATTTCAAATTGAATAAATAATTTAAAAAACTAATTATATAATGGAGAATAATACTATATAGTATATACCATACATATACCATAAAGTATTAAAAAATATATTTTAGTTGCTCGTTTTGAGTACGTAACGCAATTAAAAAAAAAAGTTTTTTGTTTATATATTTGTTTCACTTTTTAAAATGTTTATGTGTTGATATTTTTTTGTACCGAAAATATTAAAAAGTATACCAATTAATAAGTTGGTACATTATTTCATTCAGTGAAATATTATGAATCATAATGACCTAATTTACGAGTTTTTGATTAAATTTTTCTGGATAGTGTTTTCCTGTTTTCAGTCATTACAATTACGGATAATTACAATAAACTACAGAACAATCATCAGAAAATCAATTTTTTTTCTGAAAACGTTTTTTTATTTTTGAATAGGTCAGTTTTCAACCACTATAGTAATATCAGTGAAAATATGATTGATTTCAGTTATTGTACTATAGCTGCATTTATTTGCTAGTAAATAAATATCATGTAACATTTTTAAGTATGATATTAAAATATTTACAGCCAGAATATGTTATGCACACTTCATAAAGGCAGGTAATCATTGAGTCATTGATGAATATTAATTTTATCACAGTGTCAAAACCATCGATAAAATAATGTCAACTGACAATTTGTATTTGAATTTCGGAAATCGCGGGAGACGTGTTCACTTCTAACGTAAATCTGCAAAAATAATCGATTCGTACAAAACAAAATGCTCGAACACAATATACATCTTGTCAGTATCAAATACGAACTCGATAAATAGGTGCACCTATGACCTATACCGTAGGAAGAAAACGTTTCTTCGCGTTATCAGAAAACTGATTTTGTTATTACGAATGTCTGCGTTTTATTTTTATTTTTTTAATAACATCATTCCCATTGCATTGTGACGACAGATTTCTCATTTTTATAAACATCTAAAATATAGACTTGCGCGTTCTTTAAAATAACCTCTTCGGAGTCGTTTAATAGGCTATAAAGGAAATACATGTTGGAGATGTATGGCGTACCGTACTGGTAATAAAAATCAGCAGTGCAATTTTAGTGCAACATTATGTCAGAACTCACGAATGTTCATTAAAAGTTAACGACATGTTGTTAAACGGCCGAACCATCAAAAAATAGTTTTGGCACCATCGAAAACTATTTCATGGAATATGTACGTGTAAAAATCTGATGATAAATTCAATTTACGAGTTAATAATGAGTATATCAGTGTCTGGAGAAAATATAATATGCTTTCAAAACATACTCCTTAATGTGCACAGAAAAAAATATGCATTTTGTACAGTGAAAAAATTTTGAGTATCCTATAATATGCGTGGCGCGACTTTTGCACTGTGTTGCATGTTCATTATATTATTATTGTGCTCGAATGACGCGTACAGAAATATTTACATAAATAAATACAAATTTTATTGATTTTGTACATTTATTGTAACTCATAGTGAATAAAATAAAATGAATAAAATTAACTACATTAATACAGTGAAAAGTACAACGCATTAAAATCAAATTTGGGCTCAATACGTATAGAACAAAAATAGACGCTGACTGCAGAATTCGGAGTGGAAAAAAAATATTTTGTAATTTAAAACATTCCTTTTTTAATAATAATCATGCTGTTCGACATTATAATAATGTGTAATGTTTCAACTTCTCTACAGTTCAAGTTTAAAATTTTAGAATAGATAATTTTTCCACGACTTTTCTAAATAGAAATTTCAGCGAAGTTGACTAGGTATCGATTTCAATTATTGAAAAATTTTATAAAATGGAAAAATTATGATACACCATCTAACATTTAACATCCGGAAAATAATTATCCCGGCGTACTTAAAACACTTCCCGAAAGTACAGAAATCGTTGTTGTGGATTTTAACACCAATACGGCATAGATACCCGTTAGTATAACAATGTCTATAACAACACTGAAATCTTAAATAAAACTTCAGCGCTGTTAGGCACCTATCGTAAATGATTTCGGTTAAAATTAATTGAGAAAGGCTGCGTTGATGTTATTCCAACAACAAATCCCTTCTCATATCCTTTGCGAGCGTTTACGATTTTTGATTTTCTCACGCTTAAGTTACTCGAAATTATAATTTGTAAATCGCGAATAAACTCGAATATTCGCGGAATTAAACTTAAGGCGTTTTACTTTCGAGACAGGTTCTTCTGCAGCGTTCCCGTTTACGAGCATAAACACGATGTTTTGGATTTTTCTTCTGTAGTGTTGTGCTGTGAATAAAGACGCGGGGAGACCAATACACTTGTTGTCAAACACACGCTGCAGCAACAATAATTATTACGGCAAGAGGAATTTTAATATTTGGTATTCAATTTTTTTTTTTTAATTTTTTTTTTTTTCAGTAGCACATGCGGGACGACGAGGGATAAAGACTTTTGACATATTATTTGACGGCATTCAACGCCAGGCCACGACCCTGTGTTCTGGAAACCGCAAAGTACCTCTGACTACGTGTACTTTTATACACATTTTACACATGCACACAATGTGTATTATTATTATTATTATTATTATTATTATTATGCATGCACATACATAGTTAATGGCGGATAATAAAATTAAAACTTTTACTAAAAATAAAACTACTTCTGCCAATACACAACCTCTGTTAGATTACGTTTTGTAACTGCAACACAAGTGGGTCGACCGATAACCTGCAGATCGCCTCGCTATAACGACACCGTAACCTAATTAGCGTTTGCAAGAGAGAAATATACTTTTGTTGATATAATACGTACATTATCAGTAAACCGGTCAATAAACTCCATAGTCGTCATTATATTATATTATTATATTTGTTTGATCTTCGAATTTGGATTGATTGGCAAACTTGTTTCTCTCATTTTATTTTATTGTAATTGGCAGTAATTTAATTGAAAAATAGATATCATTAGCGCAGTACACGTCGTTTGACTTTTACAAATTGTAAATCTCAGGCACTGTACAGTGAGGTTTAAGTATAGGGTTTCAATTGGCTTGTACCTTGCAACCAAACGTATTCCGAAATTAACTTACTATCCAACGTTTACTTTTATACTGTTTGTTCCTCATGCGACTACGTTATTTTTGAATGATAATAAATTCTTAAGACAAGTCCACGACGAAGGTAATGTCTCCCGTAATACATTTTAAATTAAATAGATTTATAATATAATGTTTACACATTTTTTCAAAATAGATTTAAAATATTAAAATTGAATTTCGTTTGAATAAAAAAGCTTCAGCCTATCGCACAGCCGCTTTGGGTTAGATTTCTTACTGGCTTCAATTGGCTGAGAGTGGATTCATTAATAACCAAGTTTTATATTATGAATAGGGGTTTTTGTTTCGTTAGGAAATACATAATATGGTCCATACACTGTATTTATATGGATACATTAATTATAAATCTCCTAAGAAAACGGTATTAACAATTTGTAGGCAACATTTTTTTTTATCTTAGGCTACGACTTTTGATAGAGGATGGTAACATAAAGATAAATATAAAGATACAGTTTTTATGATGTAGCATCTCGATTAAAAAATGACCGTGTACATTTATATTTGAGTATATAAACAGTACCTATTATAAGATATAACGATGCAAATAATATTAAGAAAAAAATGTCATCGGGAATTCATTTAAGTGTATTACATATTTTGTGTAAGACATTTTTAAAAATAATAAATACTCAACATTAATAAGAGTCAAGAATATAACTTAATTCAGTTTTGTACAAAAATAATATTAGTGTAATTATGTAGGGAAGACACTTAGTTTCTTAAGAAACTTTTCAAGCCTTTCAAAAAAAAAAAAAAATAAACTAAATAATGTAATTATACCAGTTATATTAATTCTAAAATACACTTGCCACAGTTTAACCTTCCCGTAAAAAGTTTTTGACTTATTTAATGTTACTTGATTTAATAGAACTTGAAGGGCGTATCTTTCGCGACATACTTCTTCTAAAACAATTACTAAACCTAAACACTCATTATGTTTTATATCGAATTTTCACCAGAAAATAACATTATGCCACCATGAAATGTTAAATATTATA